CATACTGATCAGGCTCCTGTTCTGCGCTGGGTAGAGCTTTATCCGGTGGTGATAAAATGCTGAATAAGGTCATTGCTCTCCATCAGGGGAAGTAATCTCCCACAAAGGAAAGAATAATAAACATATGATTTTACAGGGAATTGTTTAATGACAGTTGTGACACTTGTTACCAAAGAAAACGGCAGCATCATGGAAGAACTGATCAGCTGACCTTGGTATAAACTCATGCTTTCCAGGGCTAACGTGGGCGAGGTCAGGAGAAGACCTTGAGCTCTTACTGGTGACTGGTGTGTGCCACTAATTAGATAGTTTTACTTGTGATTATTTTTTTAGTCCATCAGAAGAATTCAGTCCCCACAACCACTTGTAATGGTGAGACTTGAAAGTTTCTACAAGATGTAGAGGATCTAAGTTATTTGAGTGACCATTTTAATAATTATTCTTGAAGTTGAGTTTCCCCTAGTCTTCTTTCTCTTAAATGTACAGGAATTCTTAGGGCCTTATACATACATAAATATCTTAAGGGTTAATTAGAATTAGGAACTGTGAATTGGGCTCCTCCGCTCCCTCTATTCTAAGAGTAAAATATATTATAGGACTGGCACATGTTGCGTCCTATGACTTGAAGAATGATGGTTTTGCAGTATTTGTCCCTTTTGTTTCTCAATGTTTAAAAAGAGGACAGTTGACTATTTCATAACTTACAAATGGTGACCAAGATGTGAGAACTATGTTTAAAAAACTTGATACTTACCATCAGCATCACCTGATTCATGTCTTAGGAGAAATAATTGGAAAAACTGAGATTTTTGTTTGCAAAAATAATCTTTGAAGGATGGTACTTTTTCAACTATTTGAAGATACTCATCTTAACTTGACTATGCATTTTAAGATAAGAAATTAGAATAAATGTTAGTTGGTTTTAAATGCTTATTGTAGAGAAATAGGGAAAAGACAAACTATTTCCATTACTATCATTCTTATTTTCCTGTAAATTCTAGCTAATGTAGTTACAAAATTAAATTGAGTCTTATAATGTGGCTTGCTTGCCTATACAATAAATCCCAAGAAAATAAACTGAAAGCTATAAAAACTAATATGAATTTTAACAAGGGTATAAGTCATAAATTAAATATAAAATATTAATAGATTCCTATATATCAGCAACACATAAAAATAAAATGAAAATTTGATATCATTCGTAATGTAATAAAAATAATAATTATCTAGAAATAAAGTCACCCACATGGAAACAATGATAAAATTTTACTAAGAGAAAATAATGAATAATGGAATGGGTGAAAATAAATATTTTCCCTTAGGGAGAAATGAAATATTATAAATGTATCAATTCTTCCCAAATTAATTTATAAATATATATAATGCAATTATTATCATAATCATAATGCAACATATGCTAAATTGAAACATTTGTACTAAAGTTCAGCTGAAAAGTTAAACACGTATGACTACCCAGGGTCCTTTTTGAAAGAATGGTTATGAAGGGTGAAGGTGTTCTAATTAATCTAGCCCTAAAAATTCTAAGTTTATAAAATGAAAACAGTAAAGCACTGGACCAATGCTTGGACAACAGACAAGTGAAATAGTAGAGAATACACCCCAAAGACTCAAGGATAGTTAAAAGTTTTCATATGTGACAAAAGGTGGCCTTTCCTTTCAGTAAATAATGAGCATTTAATATATGGTGCTGGGGCAAGTAGTTAACCATGTGGAAGAAAAAATATAGATGTTTGATTTGCCTTATAGTACAACCTCAAGTAATTTTCACATAGGGAGATATTTAATTGTCAACCTGATTTATTTCTGTCACTTTAGTGAGGGAGAGTCTTCACCAGTAATCTAAGAAAACAGTCACTTATGTCCACAAGGACTTGAATCAACTGCCAGAATATTTTTTAACCTCCATTGGTAATGGAAACTTGAAATATGTCTAAACATTTAACACTGAAGATTAGGTTTATTTTAGGCTTAGCTTAGTAGAATATCATGCAACCAGGAAGAGAGAGAAAGAGAAATGGAATCGGGGAAGGGAAGAAGAGATTGAGATCCGTGTCTTTTAAAAATATATATTGTTATTGATTTCAGAGGTGAAGGGAGAGGGAGCGAGAGAGCAACATCCAAAATGAGAGAAAATCATTGATCAGCTGCCTCCCGCACACCCCACCCTGGGGATCGAGCCCATGTGCCTGACTAGGAATGAAACCATGACCTCCTAATTCACAGGTAGATGCTCAATCACTGAGTCATGCTGGCAGGGCAAGAGTCGTGTTTTTATACTTAGTAATATTTGTGTGCATATCCTCATGCACATAAAAATGATAAAGATGTATAGCAAATAGTAATAGGGATAAAGACATTGAAGTTGTTTTCTTGTTTTGTTTTTCTAATGTTTAAAAATGAGTATTATTTTCTAAATAAAAGTATAAACTGTAAACAAATATGATGGCTTATAGATGTTTTCAATCCTATTTGATACTCAGCAATAGCACCATTTTTGTGTGATAGGCAAAAGTTAATGGATATGAGAGTAAATAATAAACTAAGATGAAAATTTAGTCTTATAAAGATTAAAGCTGTTTTAATTTTTTAAATTGGAGAAAGGAATATTCAAAGGTATATGGAACATTTATTTTTCTGAAGTGGAAGTGTTGTTATACTAAACTATCTTCATCAAAAGATCAACTCTGCATTTCCAAAGGAGACTGGCAAGATAAAAGGAAGTACAGTCAGAGATCAAGGAGAGTGTGGAAGTTAATCACTGAGGATGACTAATAATAATTTGGTCAGTTGTAGATTCTAGTTACAACACACACTTCAAAATAAGTACTCCTTAGGCTTAAAAATTAGTTTGAAGCCAAGTAACTAGATATGCAGCATCATAGTTAAATAAGTACACAGCAACATATGTAAGGTAACATACCTTCTTCCCGTCCTTCATCCCTGATTCTAGGAGGAATATTCTTATAGCCTTTCTACACATTTTTTTATTTTATTTTAGAAATGAAACCCATTCAGTCTACCATTCCTTAGTCTAACATCACTTAAGTCTCATTGGATATAGGGTGTGGATATGACCCTAAAGGGACATATGAGCCTTGAGCCAGGAGATATTTCTTGTTCGTAATGGAAGGGATGGAGCACAGATAGGGCCCATTTTCAGAGGGTGCACGGTGCTGAGGAAAGGAAACTGCTTCCCCAGGGTTTTCATTGCTGAAATTAGGGGCACAGTTTTGAACATGCATTTGCATTGGGCACTTCACAACTCTGATACTTTGCAGCAGCGACATAAATGCAGATTGGAGCAGAGGCCCGGGTGTATCTTTATTATCACTCCTTCAAACGTAGAAAGGGATTTTGGCAGGAAAGACAGCTGTGCAATTGCATGAAGCTTTTCCATTTCCACAAGCTGAAATTGATGTAAATGTGTTGATATGCTTGGCTTCTTTCCTTTTTATTTCTCCCTCCCCTCTCTCCCTCCTCCCCGCTCCTTCCTTTTATTTTTCTTCCCAAAGCCTTTATTCAGTTGGTATTTTATTTTTTCTAAAAGTTTATAACCTCATAACTATAAATGAAACATAAGGAACTTTGTCTATGAATATCTATAATAATAAAAGCATAATATGCTAATTAGATCGGACAGCTGGACAACCTTCTGAACATCATTCTGCACATCTGTCTGGATGAAGCAGGGGCAGAGGCAGAGGCAGATGGGGGTGATCAGGAAGGCAGGTGAGCAGTTATGGGCAATCAGGCAGGCAGAAAGAGGTGGTTAGGAACAATGGGGCGAGCAGGCAAGTGGGTAGGGGTGATTAGGCAGGCAGGTGAGCAGTTAGGGGCCAGTGGTCCCAGATTGTGAGAGGGATGTCCGACTGCCTTTTAGGCCCAATCCCTGTAGTATCAGGAGTCGGACATCTTCCAATGGGTCCCAGATTGAGAGAGGGTGCTGGCCAGGCTGAGGGAACCCTCTTGCCATGCATCAATTCCGTGCACCGGGCCTCTACTATTTATATAAACTTTAATATGGCATTTAAATAAAATGTTTGAACAACAGCTAAGAGTGACCTGTAATATAACTTAATGTGTCAGTAGTCAGTGCTGTGAACAAAATTGGTCAGGACTCCAATAATCTATAGTTCTTCCTTGTTTTATGCTTTTTATTAAAATATTTTAGCAATAACTTATCTAAATATCATAGTTAAGAGTTCAGAAATTTACATTGGGCAGTTTCAAGTTTAAGGACCACTCTCTGACCTACAACATTATGCCCTGAGACAAGGTCATATTCTATTTTCTAGTCTTATTCCCTCTTTGGTAAAATTAGTTAATAATAATAGAGTATATTATAATCCATATAGTATAGTAAAGAATATTTACTGATGGTTAGGTAAGGTAGTGCATATAAAACTTTAGAACATGAGTGGCATATAATAAAGAATTGAATAAAATATTTCTAAAGCAACAATGATAGAGATATGTAAACATATGTTCTTATAATGTTGAGGGCATGTTTGTGATAAAATGTTACAGAGAACTTGAAAATCCACTGTGGGGGATGGGTGAACTTATAGTAAGGAAACCCATGCTGTGCTCCATTTGTGCCTACCCTGTCACAAGCATCTTAAGCAGTGCACATTTATATCCTTGCCCCTCAAAACAATCTTATCCTATTGATGCAACTAAGTCATTGAGGTGAAATAGCTTCACGAAAATAAACACTAGTGGAACAAAACACATCAAGCTTTGAAATCACATCTTGTCAAAAGGAAATCCCATTTTATTTTTCCTCCATATCACTACCTCTCTAATTGAGGAATTACACAGGTAAAGACCCACCAGGTGACTTTCTCACTGCCTTTGGACTTCGAGTAACATCCTCTTAGGAACTCAAGTTCTGTATTTTTGGAAAATTGTTGTCAGTATAAATGAGCTTCTCATATCCTGGTGGTTTGCTCTCATATGGTGCTTTCTTGTCTTTTCAGATACCCCAGATTAGTTATGCATCGACGGCACCTGAATTAAGTGACGACCGGCGCTATGACTTCTTCTCCCGCGTGGTCCCACCTGACTCCTTCCAGGCCCAGGCCATGGTAGACATTGTGAAGGCCCTCGGCTGGAATTACGTGTCTACTCTCGCATCCGAAGGAAGTTACGGAGAGAAAGGTGTGGAATCCTTCATGCAGATTTCCAAAGAGGCAGGTAGGAAGAGATTGCAATGATTAAGATGACCCTCTTCCCATTCTGTAGCTTACAGGGTTCTTTTCAGACTTTATTAAACAAACACTATAGACAATCACCATATACCTACTCTCACATTCCCCACTGCCTGCTAAGCAGATCTGCAAAGTCTTTGTTGTTTTTGAAGATAATAGTTTCAAAAGTTTGAAACTTAAGTCACTTAAAGTCTTAGGGGAAGTGATGCAGAGAAGAAAATATTTTCCAAAATCAATATCTAACTTCTGTGTAATGGTTAATAATGTGGATTACTACTTATAGCTGGGAACTGAGAAAATGTGGCTGAATGTACTTCTCAATGCATATTTTCTTCCCCTGTTCCTCTCCAATAATGGGAGCATTGTTTGGAATTATGAGAACCCAGTCACAGTGGCACTTTGCTTTGGAGATGAATAACAGTGATGGCTCTGGCTGACTTGGTAAAAGCAAAATCAAATAAATTAAGTAAATAGGCTTTGAAGTATTAGATAATTTTGAGAAAGACAGCTCTATTAAGTAGCAGTTGGAGAAGATTTCTTTGTGTTCATTTAGCTCAAATTGGGAGTAATGGGCTCAAATATTTGGCCAGGGTTTTTCCAATGGGCAGATTTGAAAAATTAGATGGAATCATCACACTTAGGAATCCTGATAATAAATATCTAGGCTTTCCCACTTGGTAATGTATATAATCTATATAATATATGCTTGATATTCCTGTACAGGTCTTATGCTAAAGTCAGGTTTTCAGTTAACTTTGTAAAAATTTTATCTACTCGCAATTGTTATTGATAAGAATAGTTAATGAACAGTAAAGGCAATGGAAACAGAGGTCCTTTTAATGAGGAAAATATGTCACAAATTCTGAAGTCCTGGCTATGATGTTGGACTGTCAGACTGAAGATATACTTACACTTACAATGGTTCAGGGTTCAGGGTATGGCTACTGAAAGAAGGGAGTGAGGACTTGCTTAGCAATCCCACGAATTTAATTCAGTGCCTCATCATTAGCTCTAATTGCAAACATTCACTGGGGAGCTGGGCCATTCTCAGGTTCTTCCTTCGTACTCTAATACTCTCACTGTTGACATCTTTGACTGGGTGGCTCCAAATTATGAATAGGCCTCATCCTGAAAGTCATTTTTAAGTTCAAATAAACAAAGACACCCCAGTTCATTGGTTCCACTGGCATGGCTTTGTGTTTCTAGTGACTTCTCCCACAGCACTTGTCCCATGTTGGTCTAACTTGTTTTTTTGTCCGCTAGACTCTGAGGAGAACTTGTCTGTCTCATTTACTATGGTAGTCCCAACTGCTATGTTTATATGGGAAATGTTTTGTTTATTCAGTTAGAAACTTCCTGACTAGAAAAGATATCTTAACTCGTGCTTAGTGTTATGCTGAAATTCGTACCACTCTAATAATTGCCTTAGTGAAGCCCTAAAAAAGATTCCTAATCTTTTTTGATAACCAATTCTTTTATTTGTTCTTGGTTCCTTGAATTTTGCTTTGGCCAAAATAAGGCTAGAGATCGATTTAGAAATATGAACATAAACATGAACATAAAAGCCAACAGATAAGACATGATGAAGAGAAAATAATCATCTAGAGCTCAGAAGTAAAGTTCTCATACCTTCTTGCTCTTTTGATGCAAATGGCTCTCCCATTTAATGCTGAACTTCCTACAGGACAAAGCAAAGAGCACTACACATTTTTAATAAAATTGACAGGGCTCCTAAGATGGACATTATGTTAACTTTTCAGTAAAGCACAGGATCAAGACAGTTCTTTACTCTTGATCAGTTGTTAGGTGTTTTTTTTTGTTGTTGTTGTTTTGTTTTTGTTTTGTGTGTTTTTGTTTGTTTGTTTGTTTGTTTTATAACAGACTGAGATTGACCTGTATACAGACGGGTTCGTGGTACATTTTATATGGTTGTTTTTTTCCTGGTGTCACTTGGTGAAAACTCAAGATATAAAATCAGAGTCCATTATGTAAGGACTCTGCGAAAAAGGACAAAGCCTTTGTAACATGGGCTGAACTCCCCAGCTCATGGGTTTAATTAATCTTACATTGATATGATGCAGCTCAAAAATAAGGCTTGTATCATTGGCAGCCATCGTGGAAACAGCTTTTTCCCTGGAGGGTGAGAGTAACTGGAAGGCCAGCTACAGGAATGCAGGGGCAGGGAGGGTCCAGGGAACGTCAGGCAGATCACTTCCTCTTCTCCTCTCCTAAGTATTAGGATATGTGGTGTGTATTTATAATACATTTCATTGGAACCATATCATACGTGCAGTTTGCTTAAATGGATTCACTTATGTGCTTAGCAAACACCTTGTGTCCCCTACCCTCCCCAAGAGAAAAAAAGGAAATACATATAGAAAATATGTGAGATTACCATTTAAATGGTGTGTGGTAAGTTACTCACTCAATGTGTGTATTATGTAGAGAAAACCTGAAGTGGGAAACATGATCCATTGTGTACTTAGTGAGTTTTGCTTTTGTGGGCCTCTCATAATATGAGTACTTGCTACTGCAGAGGTGATTCCAGTATATAGAGATACATACTCATATTCTGTGACTTCTGACAGATCCAGCTACTTCCTCTGATATTCAGTCAAAGAAACAGCAATTTGGTCTAATTCAGATTAAAACAAACGAAAGAAAGAAAGGAAGGAAGGAAGGAAGGAAGGAAGGAAGGAAGGAAGGAAGGAAGGAAGGAAGGAAGGAAGGAAGGAAGGAAGGAAGAAAGAAAGAAAGAAAGAAAGAAAGAAAGAAAGAAAGAAAGAAAGAAAGAAAGAAAGAATAAAAATTTACTCCACTGTAATTTCTGGGAATTTTAGAGAATCTTCAAGGAAATTCCAAATGCTTACATTTTTCCCTTTGCCTGTTGTCTATGGAATCTGACCTTCAAGAAAGATGTGATCACATGTGTATATGGTAGAGTCAGTGTGTCATAGAGATAAGCAAGCACTGTGGCTCTCAGTTATCAGATGTCAGAACAATTCAAGACAGTGATGTCAGGGAAAACAATCATCCTTCAAAGGAGCCCATCTCATTTGTTTGGATCATGGAAGCCTGCATACTGTTTCTTTATCCTGGCTCAGAAAACCCCAATGATTCTTGTCTCAGGTGTAGTCATGGAATATTTAAATATACATGAGAGATAAACAAGTCTGATGGTGTCAAGAAAGACCTGAATTTGAGTAATGGCTCCATCACTTTTGTGTTGTAAAACTTTTGGCACACTGTTTAACTTTTCAAGCCTGATTCCTCACATAGAAAATTAGATTAATGAGGCCTACTTCATCCAGTAGTAAAATAAATAAGATCATGTACAGAGAAGCACTTAACACCAGTTCCCTATAAATCAGTAGAATTAGTGTTTGAGTTAGAAAATAACTTGACATTACCTTTTATTATAACTACAAGGTTATTTGTATATTAATACATAAATTATAAATATATATTTATTTATATATATTTATTTATAATTTATGTATTAATAAATTATACTTATTAGTTAGAATAGTAACTCAGGTATTACATATAAAATATATAAAATACCTGAGTTACTATTCCAACTAATAAGCTTCATCATATAAGAAGCATAAGAAGAAAAGAAAGTGAACTATTTACATTGTCCTATATATGTGGTGTGTGAGTGTGTGTGAAAGAGAGAGAGAGAGAGAGAGAGAGAGAGAGAGAGAGAGAGAGAGAGAGAGAGAGATCACATAAGCACAATGAAAGGAGTTACTTCCATTCTTTCTGAATAGTTTGACTTTGAATATTATGATTCTTCTCCGAAGAGTTCCAAAGTTTACTTTACACTTAAGTTCTAAAGCAATGGCTGCTTGTAAAACTGTAGTTTGAAGTGTCCCTCCAGGCACACAGTCACAGGTGTGCTCTGCTTTATCAAACTGGGATAGATAAATCAAGACAATGATGCCAGGGAAAAGAAGCCATCCTTCCTCAGAGGCCATCTAATTTGTTTGGAACATGAAGGCCTACATACAATTTCTCTAAACTCTTAAAAGGAAGCATCTAATTCTTCTCTCATGGACAGTCACAGGAGATTTAAATATGCAAGGATACTGCTCCTTGTTGAACTTTCAGAGAGGACTATAACATGAATTTCTCAGAGGATGAGATTTTTGTAGAACAGTTATATTTGCATAAATTGCCCTGTTTATTTGAATGGATGCAAATGCAATATCACCAAAAGCAATTTATTGCTTAATATTGCAGAGGATGAGAGAATATTCATTCCCAACATGCTTTAGATTCAGGTCAACATAGTAACCTAAATAGTCTAAATTAGACATAAAGACTCCTTTTTCTAAGTGAGGGTCAAAGTAAATGCTTATGATAGCATATGGCACAAACCTATTCCAGATGTTTTGAACTAAATTGGGTTCAAGGATTATAATAGTAAGAAAATTATATATGACACTTATAGTTTGTCAGACAATTTTCAGGAGAATTCCGTGAATATTGCTTCACAAAAAGGAATAATTTGTTACCTTCATGATATCATGACACATGTCAGCTTTTCAAAGCCTGAGAGAACAAGTGAAGTATCCTTTTGTTATCTCAAGCCAATCACATAATAGAGTTATTTCAATTGGACTTACAAAGTAAATGTCACTATTCAGATAAACTCATGACTTCCTTTTATTTATCACTCTATCTAGACCTAGATTACTCTTTCCTTAGGTGAAGGCTTGACTATTAGTATCTATTTTTCACCTCAGTTTTTTTTTTTTTTTTACTTAGACCTCAGGAACTAGTTGGATTTGCTCATTAAAAGATTATCTTCTCATTAAAGAATTATTTGCTTCTCTCTCAGTCATAGATGCAATGTTCTCTTTCATTGTGCCAAATGTCAGTCTTCCTTGCCTTGTTGTAACCTCTGTGAGGTCAAGGACTTTGCCTTGAGACTGTATTCTAATTTTTGGCATATGGAAGGCATTTCTAAAATATTTGGTA